CGAGAAGTGAGTCTCCATAACCGAGGAGCAACGACGATTGAACCGATTATAAACCCACTGGGACTTCCGGACCACCACGACATATGTAGGTCCCCGACCTACATATACCAACCTACCCTTGGATCCTCTCGAAACAAGAACGGGTCCATACCACCCGAGAGCACAAAGACACCTCAAATCCGCCCACATTCCACCACGAGGGTACACGCTACTCCGCCATCTCTCCACTCCCAAAGGTCGCGAGTAGCCATTCTCGTAATAGAATCGCCAAGTTTAGGCTTACTAGAGTATGTGGTTAGTACTACAAAGTCTCACCTACAACAGTTCACCAACGATACGGACCTTAATCGACACAGTGAAAGAACCCGCTCACAAGACATTACCGTGTCTTGTGGCTCACACACACCGAGTCCGCCTGGTCTAGATTTATTACTCCACATTACCATATCACATGATAACATAAGTAACCAAAGTTCCATTTAAAACTCACGGGTGACAGAGCAATCACCCAACTTTGATCGGTCTAAGCGAGCTAAGCATAACTAGGCATATACGATTTTAAACGGGTAACAAGGTAGATATGGAACAACAGGTTGATAATGCAACAATTAGGTTTCCACTTGACTCCTAATCACTTAATGCGATATTGAAAAGCAAAAGCGAAATCAATTTGTAAAATACAAGGTAGGGTTATATGCATCCGGGCTTGCCTTCGTTGACGGAAAAATCCGGCTCTGCAACGCGTTTCACAAGTCTTCGATCCGACCTCAACGCATGATCAACCTCCTCCGCAACTTGATTAACTACCACGCGTTCACCTTCGTTTACTACACGTAGTAACATTGCCATGCTTAACATGATGTGGAATATGAAACATGATGCTCGATGATGGATGCAAAAATTAATAAATTGGATACAATTTTTCTTAGCAAGATCAAATTACAAACCAAACTAACCAAACCATATCCGTAACTGATGTGACCACGCTAGCACCGATCACTTTGGTGAACTATCCGACCACTATGTTGAGCTATCCGACCACTACGGTGAACCATCCGACCACTATGGTGAGCTATCCGACCACTATGGTGAACCATCCGACCACTACGGTGAGCTCTCCGACCACTACGGTGAACTCTCCGACCACTACGGTGAACTATGCGGAGCAAAAATCGTCGGTGAGGGAGAACCGCGATCGCAGCGATCAATCAAATGAGTAAACAACAATCGACTAAAGACTACAAAGATCGAAACGAAACCGTAAGAACACCGATTATACCAACGGCTCACCGAAAAGCTCAGCCACGATGACACGCCCAAGCGGGTGAAGTTCTTGACCTCGAGGAAGAAAAAACGTGGGCAATGAAGTTCTCGGCAATTTCAGCGACCAAGGCTAGTCTGGCTGATTCGCAAGGAAAAGGCGGAACTAGGGCGGCCTTTACCGAGATGGCAACAGCGGTGGTGAAAACAAAGGAAGAAAAAACAGCGATGACGACGTCTTGGTAATTATAGCGCGCGCAAAAGCTCAAGGAAGCCACGACGGAGCCAGCGGCGGCGGCGATCGGAAAAGCGAGAGAAAGGAGCGGGCAAGCAGGCGACGGCTCGTTAAAAAGGATGGCCAGAAACTCAAAGGAAGCCACGACGAAACCATTTCCCTCGCCCAATACGACGCCTGAGACGGCCACGCTGACTGATCGAAACAAGCCAAGCTCGCCACGGGCGGTGTAGCGCAAGCGGTGAACACTGCTTCATCGAAATTACAAGTTTGCCATACGCCAAAATTCACAAATTACTCTCAAATTTTCATAACAACTCAAAAATCTCCAAAACAAAAGTTGTTCAAAATTGAAAGTTCTACAACTTTGCTTCTATAACCATCTCCTAATTACATCTAGATTTTGAAATGGATTTTCGGGGTAGGATTTAAATCTTTGAAAAGCGGGGTTTTCTCGAAAAATTCAAAATCCAAACAAACTTTGAATTTAAGTCAAACAATACAATTCAACACATACCACATGAATATAAACTTGTTTTAGTGTATGCATCTCAAAGTTTTCACCAAATGCCAAATGCTTTGCAATGCATATGATGACATGTCAGGTTTTAGTATTTTAAACACCCGAGGTGTTACACTGTCGATGTTTCACCATCGATAGCCTGCCACGGGGGTACCCAGGGCAGTTTGTTCGGGCTTCAGCGTATGCAGAACTCAACGGTAAACGCAAGAGACAGTCGATTTATCCTGGTTCGGACCTCAATCGTGATCGAGTAATAGCCCTACGTCCAGTCGGCGTTAGCCTTTGCGTTGGATTGATTGTCCAGTGTTGTCTCTCCAGGAACCCCGTCCTCCTTTATATAGTCAGGAGGTCAGAATTCTAGTCGGTTTACAATGAGAGTTCCTAGTAGAATTACAGAATAATACTACTACTAAGATTACATGGAAAAAATCCTAGTTAGACTAGATCTTCTCCCTTCCCTGAGGGGTATCTTGTGGGTCCCGCATCGACAAGCTCCTGAGCACTTCATGGTTGAGCTCTGGAAGTTTCGTCTTGTTCCTTCAGGTCTTGCTGAGTAGGAATAAGCGTCGTCTGAGTGCTTTCTTGAGCGAAACCGTGTAACGCTTAGTGAGATCTTCGGGTGGTGTGTACCTTTTTCTTAAAGAAAAAGTACTCCCCCTACCTGGTGCGCCAGCTGTCGATGTTTCACCACCGATAGCCTGCCACGGGGGTACCCGGGGCAGTTTGTTCGGGCTTCAGCGTATGCAGAACTCGACGGTAAACGTAAGAAACAGTCGATTTATCCTGGTTCGGACCCTCGATCGTGATCGAGTAATAGCCCTACGTCCAGTCGGCGTTAGCCTTTGCGTTGGATTGATTGTCCAGTGTTGTCTCTCCAGGAACCCCGCCCTCCTTTATATAGTCAGGAGGTCAGAATCCTAGTCGGTTTACAATGAGAGTTCCTAGTAGGATTACAGAATAATACTACTACTAAGATTATATGGAAAGAATCCTAGTTAGACTAGATCTTCTCCCTTTCCTGAGGGGTATTCTATGGGTCCCGCATCGACAAGCCCCCGAACACTTCATGGTTGAGCTCTGGAAGCTTCGTCTTGTTCCTTCAGGTCTTGCTGAGTAGGAACAAGCGTCGTCCGAGTGCTTTCTTGAGCGAAACCGTATAGCGCTTAGTGAGATCTTCGGGTGGTGTGTACCTTTTCTTTGAAGAAAAAGTACTCCCCTATCTCGCGCCGCCACCGTCGATGTTCACCATCGATAGCACCGCCACGGGGTACCGGCGCTTTATTCGAAGCTTCAACGTATGCGTAACTCGACGTGTAAACGTAAGAAATATTGATTTATCCTGGTTCGGACCCTCGATCGTGATCGAGTAATAGCCCTACGTCCAGTTGGCGTTAGCCTTTGCGTTGGATTGATTGTCCAGTGTTGTCTCTCCAGGAACCCTACTCTCCTTTATATAGTCAGGAGGCCAGAATCCTAGTCGGTTTACAATGAGAGTTTCTAGTAGGATTACAGAATAATACTACTACTAAGATTACATGGAAAGAATCCTGGTTAGACTATATCTTCTCCCTTTCCTGAGAAGTATCCTGTGGGTCCCGCATCGACACCGACCCCCCTCCCCCCTAACGAGAAAATAATTGGATGCCCCCGGGCGATGCAGCAAATGGGCCGAATTCAATTGTTCTTGGGCCCTTCTTTGGCGCACCGCAGCCAACCAAGCAGCAGCATGCAAGTACATAAAAAATGCTGACGTAAGCACATCCCATACTTTTTTGAAGTAAAAAAATCATAACTTCAAAATCAAGTATCCTAATTAAAATTCAATTGCACCATCGTGTTCCTGGCAGTAAACTTTTCAAATCAAGTATCCTAATTAAAAAAATATCATATGTATACTACGCGAACATCACAAATACATCGTAAAATATCACATTAAATTTACATGAACATCGCTAAATATAGAATAGAATATCATATGTATACTACGTGAACGTCGCAAATATCATGAAAATATAAAATAAAATAATAAAATTAATAAAGTAATTAATTAGAGTCAAAAAGAAGAAGAAAAAAAATGTTATCGAACATCACATAAAATATCCTAGAACAACAATGTATACTTATTGGACATCACAAAATACATCATAGAATATCACATTCTTACTCACGGACATCAAAACATACATCATAGAACATTATACGTATACTACATGAACATCGCATGTATTTGTAAATTAAAAAAGTGAAACATAGAATTATAAATAGAAGAAAAAAAATGAAAATAAAAAAGAATAAAATACAAAAATAGAAAATGAAATAAACAAATTATTAATTCTATCAAAAAAATAAATTAAAAATGTATAAATGTTAAAAAATAAAAAGATAAGAAAACAAAAAAAAGGAAAATAAAAACACTAAATAGAAGCATGGAAAGGAAACAAAAAAAGCAAAAGGAAAATAAAAATTAATAGAGTAAAATAAAAATATTAAAAGAATAAAGAAAATGAAAAGAATGACAAAAGTCCACGAAAAAGAAAAAAGGAAAAGGAAAATAAAATAATGAAATGAAATGAAATGAAAGAAAAAAGAAAAAAGAAATCAAGGAAGGAAAGAGTAAAAAGAAAAAACGCACAAAGGAAATAAAAAGAAGAATAAAACAATACAGAGAAAAGAAAAAGAAATAAAAAATAAAAAGATAAAAAAGGAAATGAAAATACCGTAGGGAAAAGAAACGCAACTACCCGCACATACGAACGACACGGAATGGAAAGAAAAAGGAAAAAAAACGGCAACAACTCGGATGGCTTGGTGAACTGCGACTGGGCCTCGCGCCCTCCTGGGCCGAAATCTCCAGGCGTGTGTGTGTGTGGGTGGGGGGCGGTCGGCGGACGGATTCCATCCGACTGGTCGGCAGCGATGGTTTCCGCATCCAAACCCCGTGTGCGCGACGAAGGATCCCCGAATCAGTGCCACCACCCCCCGATGGCGCTCGCCACGCTGCTGGCGCACCTCGCGGCGGGCCGCTTCGCCGGCGTGCTGGCGCTCACGAGCGGCGGCGCGCCAACCGCGTCCGCCGCGCACCGCGTCCTCCACCTCCTCCTCCGCACCTCCCCGCCGCCGCCCCTGCTCCCGCGCCTTGTCGCCCTCGCACGCTGGTCTCGGGCCCACTTCCGCGCGCCGCTCCCGCTCCGGCTCCACGCGCTCCTCCTGGCCCGCCTCGCCTCCGACGGCGGCCTCCACTCTCTCCTCCGCTCCGAGCTCCACGCCCTCGCGGCGGGCGCCTCCACTCGCCCGCGTCCATCCTCCGCGCCCTCCCCGCTTCGTCCCGCCCGCTCGTCGCCGACATGCTCGTCCTCGCGCTCGCCCGGGCCTCCCAGCCGCTGGCCGCCTACGATGCATTTCTCCTCGCGGGCGCCGACTACCCGCGCTACCGCCCTTCGGCCTTCTCCGTGAACGCCCTGCTCGCCGCCCTCGTCCGCGCCGACCGGGTCGACCTCGCCGAGCGGGCGTTCAGGGCGAGCGCTGCGGCGGCATGTGTCGCCAGATTCGTTCACCTTCAACATCGTCATCTCCGGGCTCTGCAAGACTGGGCAGCTCCGCAAGGCCGGTGACGTCGCGAAGGACATCAGGGCGTGGGGGCTGACGCCCTCGGTGGTCACCTACAACACCCTCATCGACGGTTATTGCAAGCGCGGACGAGCTGGAAAGATGTACCATGTGGATGTGCTGTTGAAAGAGATGAATCAAGCTGGAATTTCTCCTGATGTGGTCACATTCAACGTGCTGATTAATGGGTATTGTAAGGAGTCCAACATTACAGCTGCAATCAAGGTCTTCGAGGAGATGAGGCAACACGGGATTCCTGCGAATGTGGTGACATATAATTCACTTATTTCGGGGCTCTGCAGAGAGGGGAAGGTGGAGGACAGCTTGAAGCTGGTGGAAGAGATGGAGGAGTTGGGGTTGGCATGCACCCTGTCTACCCTGAACAGTGTGCTGAATGGGTTCTGCAAGAAAGGCATGATGGTGGAAGCTGAGGGTTGGGTTGATGGCATGGCACAGAGGGGCATGAAATCCAATGTGGTTACTTACAATACCTTGGTCGATGGATACCGACGGCTTGGAAAGATGAAGGAGGCAGCGGCGGGCCAAGGGCGCAATGGCAGGGAAAGGGATTAGTCCAAATGTTGAAACTTATAATTGCTTGATAACAGGGTTTACCACTAGTAGGGATTGGAGGAGTGTTTCAGGGCTTCTCGATGAGATGAAGGAGAAAGGTGTGAAAGCAGATGTTGTGACTTATAATGTGCTTATTGGTGCGCTGTGTTGCAAGGGTGAGGTCCGGAAAGCAGTAAAGCTCTTGGATGAGATGGTGGAGGTTGGTTTGGAGCCAAAACATATGACGTACAATACCATTATAAATGGGTTCTGTGAGAAGGGGGATGCTAAGGGTGCCCATGAAATTAGGATTAGGATGGAGAAACGTAAGAAACGGGCGAATGTGGTTACACACAATGTGTTTCTCAAGTACTTCTGCAAGATGGGGAAGATGGATGAGGCTAATGTGGTACTGAATGAGATGTTGGAGAAAGGTCTAGTTCCAAACAGGATCACTTATGAAATAATAAACTCAGGCATGATAGAAAAGGTTATGTGCCTGATATAAGAGGATATACAGCAGATGTTTCTAAAAGCTTGACATCTTCCTGAAAGATATGTTCTTGTAATGTGCCAATATAGCTTGTTAGAACTTGCTGTGATGTAGGCTTGGATCCTTATTTCTGATAGGACATGTTTTGCCTTGTCTAGTTGGGTGTGGAATTGTGATTACTTGTTCAGACTAGGAATTTTAATCCCTATTCTTCACGGTCATGTTTTGCCTTGTCTATTTTTGGATGTGGGGTTATAATTACTCGATAAGAATTTGAGTTAGGAATCATTATTCTTATTTCTGCTAGGTCAGTTTTTTGCCTTGTCTAGGTTTGTATGTGGTCCTTTGGTTCATCTCGGGTGTATTGCAGGCATGAATCTGTTCATAAATCATAACTCAGTTGTCTATAGATCTTCTGCTTCAGCTACCATAGAGTCAGTTAACTCTTGTGAGCCAACCACATTTTGTAAGATCCATTTTATTAGAAATCTTCAAATTATTTATCGGTTTAGCCTGCATAGAGATTCATGTTTCCAAGATAAATTTTTCCATGCTTCATTTATGGCTATTCAACAGCTTGCTGGCTATTACTGTCTGCCTGTCCTATGAACTTGTGAAAGTTTGAAGAGAAGATGTTGCTAAATAAAAACTTTTCCATCAAGTGTAAAATTTTTCTTAAGTGCATTTGACAATAGCTGATTAGTATGTGTATGGAAATAGGTTGCTTTGTATTTAACATTACGTGCAAGTTAATTTTGACAATAACTATCAAGATTGGATTTTGCCAAGAGGATATTCTGAACTTCATCAACAGTTCCCTTAAGGATGGACAGGACCTTTCTACTTTTGTAAATAATGTATTGGGGGATTACCTTGGAATCTCATACTGGTACCAATTTATTTATCTTCAGTGCAAAGAATTTCCATTATTTTGGTTTCACATGCAAGACAGGTATGACTGTATGAAGATGATGAGTTCTCAGACGAAGATTGTACCATGAAATTAGACGAGTGGAACAGGTCAACAAGGAGCCAGGAAACATATCCAGGGGAAAGGAGATTTTTTAGATGTTTCAGTTGTTGTGCCCTACCAGCAGGTAACTGTTGCATTCAACTTTGACGAGTTTGATGATGTTGCAGTAAGTTTTGACTTTTATTTCCCATAGAGGCATAGAGTGAATTATTAGTGCCATTTTTTCCCGAAGACCCTAACATTGCACTTCTTACTACAGATAAGAGCTTGATAATAAATGAGTGTGTTATTATTGTAAAGGTTGCTGTGAGTGTTGATTGTTTGTTTGCGCTCAAAAAAAAGTGTTGATTGATTGTGTGCTAATGATGTATTGTCATTTCATCATGTGACATGTGGACATTTATATGCTAGATATGATGATTATGAATTGGTTTTATCCTGTCATTACCAAAAATTGTCTATTGTTGATAGTTTATACATAGATATCCTCAAATGTAAAGTTTCTTCGGTAGTTTGTTTGTAATACTTTGTTTGGTTCATTTCCAGTTCAAAACTATGTTAATGTGGAAATCTTGGAGATGACCAAAATAGGGGAACAGTAGTGGAGGTTGACCATGTTGTGTTAGCCAGAATTCATATTTTTAGAGTTGGTCTGCACAAGTGCACAAGCACTACTAATTCAGCAGAAAATACAACAATTAAACAAAATATGCTAGTATATGTTTTCCTGGAGTTTTCCTTTGTTTTTTTTGAGCGAGAGCAATTTTTTTCCCCAACGCACTTAGATCTTATAATATCCACCTGAAACATTTCTTTTTAATTATTACTCGTATGCAGCATTTCTTTAAACATAAGATGATTTACATAGGTTCCAACCATGATTCATATGAAGATAAAGGGAAAACTTTCCGGTTGTCAGTTGTCACTGGTATATATATAGGGTAACACATTATAGGAGCAATGTAGACAGAGTACATTCATGACTATCTTGTAAAACTGCTACCCTAATAATTGAACTTATTGGAACCATTTCCCACGGTGCAATCTAGTGTTTCACTGCTGTATGGCACACTTGTTTTGATGGCCATGTTTTTTTTGAGCGGAAAATACAGCAGGGGAGGCCCCCACTGTAAACTTTTTATTTAAACAAAAGAAGCAGCAACTCTATACAAGAGATAACAAAAAAGGGAAGCAAGCCCGAGGTGGGCAGCAGAGCTAAACTAGAGCAGCTGTACAAGAAAGGAAGACAGAGCGCTTAGCAGAACTGAATCTATGGGCCTGTAGCCTAACTTCGTCATAGAAAGAACTCCAATCTTGATGGCCATGTTCATGCCAGCCAAGTTATAATCATGTCCTGCAACCCATGCATCCACGCCTAAATGACGTGTCAATAATTCATCAACTTCTAGTTCTAGGTTTCAATCAATTAACCATAGGTTGGCCAGCTTCCTTGATTGAACTGAATATAGTGTACCTGGAAGAAAATACTGGTATGAAATATTAGTCAGATGCTACCTTTTCCTAGATGTCAGGTGTTTGCATTCTTTTCTGTTAATTTATTGAATTAGCTACTTTCATGCCTTTTCAGTCTAACCATTTAGTTATTTGGTCTGTTCTATTTACAAGGTTTGAATTTGTATACGATGCAGATGACTATGATCACTCAATAAATGAAGCCATCAAAATTTCAAAGTATGAAATGATTCATTTCTTGATATGTCTTATTCAAAAGGAACATACTGAAAAGAGGGAGAACTCAGCTTGAGCCCATTGCTACTACTACCAATAGAAGGGTGCTTCCTCCAAGATTGGAGTCACCAAGCAATGGGAAGTTGAATGGCTCCTCACCAACAACTAACGATTTGTATGGTGGAAATTATCTAGTCAGATGACTACCGAGACAGTGGTGGTGAACAAGAAAATGAGGCACTTGCTATCAGGTACTCTCTTAGCATGTGTTTTTTATCGTTACCCTACTCAAGGTAGTAGGCAGCTCATGATCAATTGTGTTTGTGTCACAGCAGTTGGTGGAGGAAAAGTTCTCAGAGTCAGAGGATACAAGACTTTGTTAAGGCTGTCTCGGATATTGATGCTTTGACAGTGATGATGATGTCATGGGAGAAGCAGTGTATGATGAGGAATACCTGAGAAGTCGCAAACAACAGCCAATATCGAGTGCTTCTGAAGAGGATGAAGAGTTCTGGTTGGAACATGATGAAGAAGAGGAATATTCATTGAGTACCAGTGAAGATTTAGAAGAGCCACAACGGCATAAAAAAATTGGAAACTCGTGACTGGCGAGGTACCAAGCTGAGATCTGTTGATGAAATCAGCTCTCAGACGCAGCAAGCATTCTTCTCGTCCTCGTATTTGCTATTGCCAGTATGACTTTCTGGACTTGGATACAGAGCTTGGAAAGGCAAGGAAATCTGATGCATCAGGTACTGATGCTAGCTCCAATGCCAAGAATGTGATATGGGGCTCACGACATTGTGTCAAGAGCAAGAGGAAGAAGAAGAGGAGGATACTCCTGATAAAATGGTAATAATGTGAATGATAAAATGGGGAAGGACCGCTATGGCAGAAAATAAAGTAGAACCGGATGAGGAGCTGAAGGAGCAGCCACAAGAGCAGCCTGTAGAGAAGATGAATGCTCCAAGCTGGGAAAGTGGAAGTGTAGGCAGAACATTCCTAGATCTAAACGAGCTTGCACCTGGAGTTGGCTTTGACGATAGGCCAAGCAAAGCTTGACAGTGAAAGATGTCTTGGTCGCTTGGATAACAGTTAGAAAATTTGTTTTCATATATTTGAATGCTGGTGGTTGGTATTCTGACTTTCAAGCAAGGGCGGATCAATTGGCCTAAAGGCCCTTGAAACAAGGGCCTGATGGCCTGTGAGGCTGTGATGAATGCTGCGAGATGCCTAATCTGGTCAGTGGTCAGAGTCTTATTTTGCCACTTCAGCCACTTTGCAATGCGGATAACTGAATCTCGAATGCCAGCGTGTGTTTTACTGCTTTCGTCATGCGTGTTTTCTGTTTTCATTTTCAAACACCAGCATGTATTTCGTAATTCTAAGAGCTTTTGTTTGTTTGCCACGCATAAAAGCAACGCCTCTGGCAAAGCTGTGCCAAGTGACAAGTCCGGATTTTAAGAGTACCATGATAGTAGGTAGTACCACACTGAGGATGTGCCAAAAAAATACAATAACAATTCGTTTTGGGACGCAGGAGAAAACAGAAGTTCCATCATGACAGTATAAGTAGCTCTTGACATCATCAAACCAACAGATTGCGAACCGGGGCACTAACACTATCATACAAAATCTGATTCATTCGAAGCAAACAAGCTGTCGTCACATGTAAATTTTACAAAGAGTAAGGCCTTTAAACTGTTCTGTATTACACGATCAATTTTTTTCGGAGTGTATAGCTCAGGTGCGCCTCTGCAACCGATCAAAACTCCACGCCCTCCCTAAATTACACTGGAGTCATCACTTTGGTCCAGCTTTCCCGAACGAATCACGGAGGGTAACAGTTCTGTTGAACACAAGCTTCTCAGGTGTGGAGTCCGTGTCCACAGCAAAGTAGCCTAGAATCCAC